ACAAGATTCTTGGGCAAGGGTGACCCTCTCACATGGTCATTATTCTGGTTCCATTCCCTTGGACTGGCTTAGGCATGTGAGGCGGTTTTGGCCAGTGAATTGTGACTAAGTCGGCTGAAGTCTTCAGAAAAGGTATTTTTGCTCTTAAAAAGAGACACACAAAAGGAATGAAAGGAAATGAAATTTCTTTCAAGGCTAGACATTAAACTGCACCTGACAATGACATCCAGAACCGGGAGAGCCATCTTAGGACCATTAGGGCTGAGGACATTAAGGTGGCAGAGGAGAAATAAGAGAAGAACATTGGTCCTTGGTGAAGTTATCAAGGTACTGAATTAATCCTGGAATCACTGTGACTTGAGATAATAAATCTTCCTTATTGCTTATGCCAGTTGGATGGGATTTTTGTCACAATAAAAGCATCCTTGTTGATACAAATAGCTATCATTTGTTGAGCATTTACTATGTACCCACAGCACATAGTACCACATCTCTGCCACTGAGCAAAGGGCTATATATTTGTTATCAGATTTAATCCTCACAGCAACCCAGGAGGCAGGCACTGTTATTAGCCTCATTTTATAGAGAGGAAACTGAAAATCAGAGACAGTATGAACATTGCCCAGGGTCCCAGAGCGAGGGGCAGAGCTGGGATTTGAACCTGGGGTGGAGACCCGTGTAATTCATCTCTCGTCTATAAAATTGCCTCCAGGGACTATCCATTGGCTCTCTGCCCCATCCCCCTCCATTCAAAACTCCACTCCCATTTACAAGTTGATTCAGACAGCAGCTGTTGCAGCCATGAATCAGATCTACTAGAAGCAATTGCAATCTTCAAACAATTCTATGAAGATACTTAAGAGCCATACTATGAAATCCAAACCAGATGTGATTTACCCCCAGTGATGGCGATTCAAGTTCCAGCTGGAGTAGAAAGATGAAATTCGCCGAGGAGAGCTCGCTCTGCTTTGAAACACCCTACACCTGCCTCCTCACAAGCAAGATTCTAATTTAGCTTGAGTACTGCTCACAGAATTTTGGGGGATTGTGATAACAATCTTAAGACACAGATCAAGAGCTTTGCTCAAGCGTTTAAAGCATACCTTTCAGAGAACAACAAGGATTCCTGGCAATAAACTGAGTAAATCCATAAAGTGCCTGGATGATCTATATCCAGAGAATCTAGAAAAAGCCACAGAGATAATAATATCATTTGACAAAAGCAAAGACACCAATAGGTGTTTAACGAAACCAAGTGTTCTAACTTCAAATGAGGCAAAAACACACATATTGATGTTGGACAGTATGAACCTTCATTGTGGTGGTCAAAGGAATCAAAGGTGACATTAAAATGAACAATGCCTAGGGCACCTGGGTGGCTCAGATGGTTAAGCGTCTGCCTTTGGCTCAGGTCATGATCCCAGGGTCGAGTCCCACATCAGGCTCTCTGCTAGGCAGGGAGACTGCTTATCCCTCTGCCTCTGCCTCTCTCTCTCTCTCTCTTTCTCTGACTCTCATGAATAAATAAATAAAACATTAAAAAAGTAAAGTAAAATAAAATAAAATGAACAATGCCTGGTTGTTGGACCTACTAACTATCAAACTCTGGACCTTGTAAGCTTCATTTCTGCAATTCTCTCAGTATCTCCTTGTTAGACTTATCAGTCAGAAGCCTTTACGTTATATCTGGACAAAACCCAACTTGAGAAGTTTCCTTAAAATGAGACACTATTGTTTTGGGTAAATAAAATGACCAGAAGCTTCAGGTGCAGCTGGATCCAGGCACTCAAATGATATGATCAAGGCTTTTCTCAAGCCATACAAGAGTCCACTTATCTTTCTTCTAGCAATATAGTCACAGATCTCCAAAATTTCTCACACTTGCCTGAGATTAAGAGTCTAATCTCCACATTCAACCACATTTACTATCCCTCTCTGATCCAAGTCACTTACAGCCTGCTGTTCCAAGCAATGGCTAGAATCCTGGGATACACTCACCAGAATAAAGTAAGCAAGGAAGCAGTGATTTTACTGTGGAGCTTTGAATTTAATAGAACCGAGATGCAGGCTGGCTGCAAGAGGCAAAAATTAAATAGTGACCTTTCAAAATTTGCTTTCTCTGATGCAAACGTTAGCCCATGGCTGCAACCAGACATTTATCATGTCTGATTAGGTGATTTATAGTCAGACCATGCTAAACACCCAGAAAACAGAAGCATGCCCTAATGTAACAGCACCCAGCCCCCTTTCTTAACCAAGCTCCTTAATGTTTGACTGCTCAATGTGACCCAGCCACGTGCCAAACCCCAGACACACAAATGTCCCATTAAGAGTGACTACATTTATTTACACAGTAGCCATTTGTTTACACATCAGTACTGAGCTGGGGGGAAGGAGGGTGCTTCAGTGGAGAGAGGGGGAAACTGGCAAGGAAGAGGAAAGGAAAAATCTCGAGTATTGAGAGGAAGACATCAGAGACTAAAGGATTCCCACTTGTCATGTTCATCATTCTCCACGCTCCTCCGCTCCCTGCCCCTCCAAGAATTTCTGGCTGCGATTAAATTTCGTGGCCACAATCCCTTACCTCCGCAAAGCTTGCACAGACTCAGATTTCTCTGACAGTTGAGTCCATCAAAATTTAGTGAACTAAGCATCTATTGCTCTAAACTGGGATGCTATTCAATTCAAAAAATATGTATTGGGCATTATGTGTCCTGGGATAACTGTCCTGAGAAGAGAGAAGAGAAGGAGGGAGAAAGGGAGGAGACGGGAAAGGAAGGGAGAAAGGGGAAGAGGGAAGAGAAAGGAAGAGGAGGGGCCGTTAATGAGCATCCGTGTGATGTGTGATGAGGCTGTGTAGTGCAGTGGTTAAGGTCAGAGCCTTCAGCCAGAGTCCGATCTTGAACCCTGGCTCCACTGTTCCCCAGCGTGTGACTCCTGATGAGTTACCAAACCTCTCTGAGCTTCCCCTTTCTTCTTTGTAAAATGGAGATAAACTTAACCCTGGAGTACAGATGTCAGGGCAATGTGTGCAGATCAGGTTATGGCGCTGGAGCCTATCCTCAGGCTCAGCCCTTCAGGGTCCTCCAGCCACTTCCAGCTGCCAATATCTGCATTTTTGTGGGGCTTTTTGCAGCACCACCGAAATCTCTGTGGCTGTGTAAGCAGAGCCAGAAGTGAAAGGTGCTAGCCCCACCCCCACCCAGGAGGTAGCGTACTTTTACTCCTTGGCTCATTCTGGAGGTGCGCTAAATGCTGCCTGTCTTTCCACCTTCCCTCCCTTTGCCACTCCCACTCTTCTAGCACTTCCCAAATAAGCCTCCTTGCCTTCAGATCCGTTTCTTAATAGAGGCTCAGAGAGGTTGAGGCAATTGTCAAGGACACACAGTTTTTAAATAAGGGCACATTTGGCAAATACTAGATAAGGGATTGACCAGAGACAGAAGCCTTCATCTTGCTTGTTATGGAGGATTTAATTAACTTGGATGGTTAGCTAATTAGCATGTGTGGATCTGGCCATGGGGATACAATGTGCATGCATTTAAGTAGCACACTTGGTGCTGATAAGCCAACACCGACTAGATCCATCCAGGAAATATTATGATGCCAACTGGCGGGGACTTACTATCTATATCCCAACATGCCATGAAACCAAGGGATGTAGGAGAGCCAGGCAGACGCATGGAAAGGACCCTCAAAAGCTCTGTCCCCAGCCTCATTTCATCAGTGTCCCTGCCATTGATCCATGGGTCATGTGACATGGTGACAAGCAGTAGGTGACTATAGAAGAAAACAGAAAAGCGAATGTAATATGAAAAAGGGCCTGGCTCCAGGAACTATGGGAGAGTCGATTTCTTTCTTTTTTTTTTTTTTAAGATTTTATTTATTTGGGGGCGCCTGGGTGGCTCAGTCGTTAAGCGTCTGCCTTCAGCTCAGGTCATGATCCCAGGGTCCTGGGATGGAGCCCCACATCAGGATCCCTGCTCAGTGGGGAGTCTGCTTCTCCCTCTGCCCTTCCCCCCTGCTCATGCTCTCTCTCTCTAAATAAATAAATAAATAAATAAACAAAATATTTTTTAAAGAAGTACAAAGTATGTACTTGTCTGAGCAGAGCATTGGAGAAAAATTAGAGCAAGCGTTCAAGACCCACAAGCACGCAGCTGAGACTTTCTCCATCGGGAGGATTGAACGTGATTTGAAAAAGAACACACTTTTCTCTCTGTGATGCATGGGTTATGTAATGCCGTGCCCCAAATCATATCATGTGCCACGAGAAATCATCTTAAGAGCCCGGGGAGCACATCCTGCATCGGGGGAGATACTCAACAAATTGATCATATGAGTTACAAAGCAAACAGCGATTGACGTGGATGTCATCCACTCAAACCGGTGACCCGTTTATTTTTTAACATTGGGGAGGGTATGTGCTATGGTGAACACTGTGAATTGTGTAAGACTGTTGAATCACAGACCTGTACCTCTGAAACAAATAATACATTATATGTTAAAAAAAAAAAAAAAAAGAAAAGGAAGAAGATAGCAGGAGGGGAAGAATGAAGGGGGGGAATCAGAGGGGGAGACGAACCATGAGAGACGATGGACTCTGAAAAACAAACTGAGGGTTCTAGAGGGGAGGGGGGTGGGAGGATGGGTTAACCTGCTGATGGGTATTAAGAGGGTACGTACTGAATGGAGCACTGAGTGTTATACGCAAACAATGAATCATGGAAAAACTACATCAAAAAAAATGATGATTAACATAACAATATTTTTTTTTAAAGATTTTATTTATTTATTTGAGAGAGAATGAGAGACAGAGAGCACGAGAGGGAAGAGGGCAGAGGGAGAAGCAGACCCCCTGCTGAGCAGGGAGCCCGATGTGGGACTCGATCCTGGGACTCCCGGATCATGACCTGAGCCGAAGGCAGTCGCTTAACCAACTGAGCCACCCAGGCGCCCCATAACAATATTTTTTAAAAAAATAAATAAAGAGATTCTCAGAATCGGCTTGTAAAATAAATAAATAAATAGATAGATAGACATTAAACATGAACATCACTGCCATCCCCAAGAATCATGTCCTTCGGGCAGACAGTGCTTACTTCCTATTGGACGAGGAAGGTGGAGACCATTGTACAGACAGAAAATCAGGGAGTAGAGAAGCATAAACAATGTGCATCTGGAGGAAGGTGTCAACAGAGATTTCAGGTAAGTTGCTGCGGGTCACCGGGCTGAACGGAGATTTGGACGGACCCCACCCCAGGTTCTGAGACATTCATACATTCTCAACTTCAAGAAATATGTAGTCTCCAAGCTTAAAATCATAAGCGAAGATTTGTTGACTTTCAATGAAAACACAGCTCCTTATGAAAACAAAGATAACATGACAATTATTATTTTGAAGATGGTTCATAAAGATCAAGTTTTTAGGGGCGCCTGGGTGGCTCAGTCGTTAAGCGTCTGCCTTCGGCTCAGGTCATGATCCCAGGGTCCTGGGATCGAGTCCCACATCGGGCTTCCCGCTCTGCGGGAAGCCTGCTTCTCCCTCTCCCACTCCCCCTGCTTGTGTTCCTGCTCTCGCTATGTCTCTCTCTGTTAAATAAATAAATAAAATCTTAAAAAAAAAAAAAAAAAGATCAAGTTTTTAAATATAAGCGACTTCAAAGATTTTTTTTTTTTTTTAATTTTTATTTATTTGAGACAGAGAGAATGAGAGAGAGCGCGCGCACATGAGAGGGGGGAGGGTCAGAGGCAGAAGCAGGCTCCCTGCCGAGCAGAGAGCCCGATGCGGGACTCGATCCAGGGACTCCAGGATCATGACCTGAGCCGAAGGCAGTCGCTTAACCGACTGAGCCACCCAGGCGCCCCAAATATAAGCGACTTCAAATGGCCTAAGGGCCCACATGATCCAGCTCTGTCCTTCTCTCAGACTTCGCCTCTCCCCTCCCTGCTTGTCCCCTCTGCGCCAGCCGCACTGGCCAACAGTTACGGGGGCCTATCCTGTACACGGTAGGATTCTGAACAGCGTTCCTGGCCTCTAACTGCTACACGCCCCTAGCACCACCCCCCTGGATCAAAACCGCCTCCAGGCATTGCCAAAAGTCCCCTGGAGGGGAGGGAGCACAAATATTACATCCTCTGCTGTATCTTTTGCGTATGTGGACGTATAAGCTGATAAGCCACTCTGGGAGAGGCATTCTGAACATGCACTGCCCTCCGAGGAGGGCGGATTCCATCACCTGGAGGACACCTTGTGGTTTATCCATTCGGCCAGGCTGGGGCAGACTGGCACGGCTTGTCATAAGATGGGGTGAAGAACTGGATTGGGAGTTTCAAGAAAGAGTTGGGGGAGTCAAAACGCTGGACCCCTCACCCCAGTGGAAAGGAAAACTCAATGCCAGGTAGTTCCAAAGAGGAGAACAGAAACGTCCGATGATCTTTTTTTTTTTTTTTTGAGCTGTCAGTACTGGTTTGTGTGATGCAAGCCCTCCTCTGTCTCACTATGAAATCTCCAGCAAAGTCCACACTGCTCAATAATGCTTTCTCTTGGGGACCCTAAAGAGATATGGAGCTCTGTGTCCAGGCTGCCGCAAGGTTAAAATAGAAACAACATGAGCTGAGGCAGAAGCCAGAGGACAAGGGGACGGTGGCCATCTGAGTTGCCCTCTGAGCACCTGTAAAAATTCTATGGACAGGGGCAGGTCGGGAGTAATGCAGCCCCCATATCACCCTGTTTCCTCCATCTGGAATATCCTCCCACCGCACCACACCTGTCCACCCCGCCAGTTCGTCAGGCCTGCCAGCTACCAGCTTAGCCATTGAGTCCCACCCCAGGTCCTGAGGCCACCATGTTATAATAACCTGTTGAATGTCTGTCTCCCCTACCCCCCCACCCCGGCAGACTGAGAGATAATGATGACAAGGACTATCTGTTCACCCAATATCCCCATTGCCTACCTGGCCCAGGGGGAGCCATCAACATCTGTTCGTGGCACAGCTGCATGCCGGATTAGCCAGAACAGGAGATACGGAGAAGAAGTAGATGCCGTCAATGCCCCACCCAGAACCTCTTTGCCAAACGGATGCACCAACCCCCAGCTCCTATGGGTGTTGGCTGCTAAGGTTCACAGTTGCACCTTTCTCCAAAAATTGTCCTCCAAATGGGAGCCACCTGGCCAGGGAGGCTACACCCTAACCCACTCCTGGGGCAGCCCAAAGCCAGTAACTGGCTGACATTGTGGTACAGAAGGCTCGCCCCCTTCTCTCAAGATGCACCAACTCCGTGGTGCCATTTATGCTCCAGAGTTCCCCCCACGGAATCAGGCTGAAGATCTCTCCTCCGGGGCTTTTTCCTGCCTTCTCTGACTTTTCTCACTCCCTTTCTTCTGAGAACTCTTCCCTCAAAAAAAAATCACTTGAACAAGAATTCCCACCTCTGAGAATACTAAAATGGGAATAAATCATGGTGACATTAGAGAGGAGATCATCAGAGAAACCCGGGTCTGGATCTTTCCCTACCCCTTCTTAGCTCCGTGACCTTGGGCAAATTACAATACATCTCTGAGCCTCAGTTTGCTCATCTGTAATATGGGGGATAGTCATGATACTTACTTCATAGGGTTTTTATAATGAGTCAGTGATTTAAAGTATGTATAAAGCTCATACCACAGTACCTGGCAGATAGTAAGCCCTTGATAGATAGCGTCTGTTATTACCATCATTTTAATTATTACTGTCCACCCGAGAGTCAAATACAAAGTGCATTCCCCAATTGCATCAAAATATAGTTAAACAAGCAAAATCTGATTAAGAAAAAAAAAAAGCCAACACCAGTAGCTAATTGTTCAAAAGGGAGAGATTAAAGCTCAAGGAAGTGAACTTTTCCTTGTTGTGGTAAAACTAAACCCAACACAGAAAAACAGGTTAATTTCTTGGGGAAAGAAAGTAATAATCTCATCACCAGGAGACACCCTATATGAGCTCTGCGAGCCTGAGACCTCCAGAGAAGCGTTTGTCAATGAGTATTTTAACACCCTGGCCTTTTCATCTACAGCCAATCGATAAGCATCTCCAGTTCCCTCTTAGGTTGTGATTAGTTGTTTTCATTAGTTATGATTTGCTGCATACAGATGGGATGAAGTTTTCACAGAATCCCTAAATGCCAGGAATTAACAGCATAGAAAATTCTGAAAGGATGAGGCATTGGGCCAAGCCTTGAGGGCAAGCAAGAATAAATGACACACTGCTTTTCTCTTCCACCCACCCCCACTGCCACATCCTGGTCCAGACACCATCAGGAGCCTCCTCCCTCATCTCCCTACTTCCTCCCTCACCCCACTGCTGTAGATTCCCCTCACAGAAGCCTCAGGAATCCTGTTAAGACGTAAAGTCTGATCATGTCACTCCTCTCCTCTAAAGCCTCCTGTGGCTCCCCATCTTCATCAGAGTGACAGCCAAAGGTCTACAGTAGCCTCAAGGTTCTACCCAATCTGTTCCATATCACCTCACTGGCTTTGCCTCTTATCACTCACCCCCTTGTTTGCTCCACCTCCAACCAGACTGGCTTCTTTGCCTCTGGCTAAACATTCCAGGTATACTTCAACCTCAGGGCCTTTGCACTTGCTGTTCTGGTTGCCTAGGATACTCTTCCCCAGTTATTAATATGCCTCATCTTCCCACTTCTTCGGGTCACTGCTCAAATATCACCTTGTCAGTGAAGACTTCCCTGACTTCCCTATCTAAATGGAAGACACACCCATCCCTCTCCCACACTCCCTATTTCTCCTTTCTCAGTTTTCTTTTTTAAGATTTTATTTATTTATTTGACAGAGAGAGACACAGCGAGAGAGGTAACACAAGCAGGGGGAGTGGGAGAGGGAGAAGCAGGCTTGAGCCCGATGCAGGGCTGGATCCCAGGACCCTGGGATCATGACCTGAGCCAAAGGCAGACGCTTAATGACTGAGCCACCCAGGCGCCCCTCCCTTCTCAGTTTTAACTTTCTCCCTAGCACCTTATTATCCCCCCCATTTAATATGTCTGTCTCCCCCACCAGAAGGTCACAGCCTATGAGCAGGAATCTCTGTCTTTTGTTCCTTGCTATAACCCCAGCACCTAGAAGAGTGTCCGGCACAATAAATAAATAGTAGACTAAATATAATATGTAATATAAATATAAGTAGTATCAACATAATATATAACATATAATTATATGTAAATCACATATTTATATTATAATTCTAGCACAATGAAATAATAATTATCAATTGCAATAACATTATATACAGGATACATATTATCTTCATATTATAATATGTCACATAGAATACATGTGTCTTAGTTTGGCCTGCTATAACAAAAATGTCACAGACTGGGCGGCTTAAACAACAAAGATTTATTTCTCATAGTTCTGGTGGCTGGGAAGTTAAGGATCATGGCAGATTCCATGTCCTGGTTCACAGACCACCATCTTTTCCTTATGTCCTCCCACGGCGAGGAAGCTCTCTGGGGTCTCTCTCTTTTTTTTTTAAGATTTTATTTATTTATTTATTTATTTAAGAGAGAAAGAGTGTGTGAGTGGGGGGAGGAGCAGAGGGAGAGAGAGAATCTCAAGCCGACTCCCCGCTGAGTAAGGTGCTCAACGTGGGTCTCCATCTCACAGCCCTGAGATCATGACCTGAGCTGAAATCAAGAGTCTGACGCTTAACCGACTGAGCCACCCAGGCGCCCCTCTGGGGTCTCTTTTATAAGGACACTAATCCCATTCATGAGGGCTCCACCCTTATGACCTAATCACCTCCGGAAGGCCCCCACCTCTTAAGAGCATCACCTTGGGGGTTAGGATTTCAACATATGAATTCGGGGGGCACACAAACATCCAGCCCATAACAATATATAATACATAATAATGCATGCAATATGTAGTAATATATAAAATATAGTACCTAAAAAATGAATTAATTACAAATTTTTAAAAATTTTAAATAAAATATATTACCTATAATTACAATATATAATTATATCTTAAATATTATATTACAATTATAAAAAATATAAATATATAGTACATAATACAAATAGTAGCATTGAAAAGTAGCTGCTCAATAAATATTCACTTAAAGAATCAATCAATTAATTGTTGACATCCGTGCCCAGAGCAACTCTTCTGAGCACTGAACTTCCCTTCCCTCCTGCACCAGCCCCACCAATTTCCCACCAGGGCCCCACACCCCTCCTCCTGTCCCTTCCAGGTCTGTGATGGTGCTGGTCTCCTTGTCCTGAAAGCTTTCTCTACCCACAAGTCCAAATCCTAGTCCGGCTATCCCTCTAGGCCCTGTTCAAGTACACAAGGCATCTGAGAGACTT